ATGTATATATTTTTCAATTTAAATATGAAACACTGTAGGCTGCGTAATATCGTACTACTTCTACCGAAATCGAGTTGTAACATACGATCAAATTCACGTGATGTTTAGTACCAGGCTACAACAATCAGCTAGTAAACTTGATGGTCAGTTTCTATCGGCTCAATATGCTTCAGATCTGATCATACTTACCTCCTGTAGACAAAGGATATCAATTTGAAGTAAATCCAGCCATCTGGTCAAGGATCCGAATTGGCTTATAATCTCACGCAAGGTTGTGGTCCAACTGGCCACATTGTAGGATACCACCAACATTGTACCTGTCACTATCTCCTATATCAATTATCTTCTGTGTATTTGTTGTACTACCACTGGATTCTATCATTCGCCTCGCCCACTCCGTATAAGACCCATCATGATCACGTGGACATTCTTAACGGAGAAAAAAGGTACGACTATGAACACGAACTTTGTGGATATGTGATAGAAGTTATATGCAACCTTACAAAACGCAAGATTCAAACATCCAATGGGACGACACGATTTCGCACTAGCTAGCAGGGTCAGGGTTGTTGGCTTTTAAAGTTGGAGGTTTAGTGTGACTATTATTTATTTATCACAGGTTATATACTTCACAACACACATCAATTAAGTTATCTGTAAATATCCAGTGCTGTTAAACAAGTAAATTCGTATACGTCTATTAAAGCTAGATTCTGTAAATATCCAGTGCTATTAATTGGATGTTTACGAATTATTGTGTGATTGTCAATCGTATAGACGTGGCCTGAATAGTCGATCTGGGCTTGCACCTGAAGTTAAGCACAAGCACACACGTCTATTTCTCAAAGATCAAAGATCAGAAAAGCTACTTAGTCCGATATGTGTATACAATACTTTTATTGAATATGTTTCAGTACAAAAGTAAAGCTTGGCTTCGTCAATATGTGTACAGGTGCACACTAATTCAAGTGTAGAATTATTCGTAAGAGATATCCGTCATGTTCCGTTTTCATATCTACGATCCAAAGTATACATTCTCTATTATATAAGAGAGAGCCTATTCTTGGTTATTCCCGGCTGTTACTGTACTGGCACGCCACAGAGATTGCGCGCATTCACTTGGTACCACGATCAACCATCTTCTCCACAATACCAACCTTCACTGCGCGCTATTTGAGGATAGAGCCATTCACATGGGTTTCTTCATGCTTTGTATTCATCCCCAAGTCCTAAAATATAAATACCCTCATGTATAGAAGTGCAACAATCTATAGCGTACGTCTGCTGTTGTACTGACATACTACAAGGAATTTTTTTTTCACTTAAGTATCACGATCAACTATATTCTCCACATTTTTCTTCCCCGCCAGTCGCGCGTCCATCTGATTTGACACATCGACATCATCATCGATCAAGTCATGCACTGCCTCGTTTATAGCCGAGTTCAATGACGCTGCATCTACCTTCCTGTGGTTATCGTCGTCTAATATGATGTCGTTCACATCACTGCGGCCGTTAAAGCGCGTCTCTTCCGAGATGGGCCCGTCTCCAGCGGAGCTACCGCTTCCACCCAGGGTTGTGCTTTCGTTAGTGTACACACCCTTTGCGGACTGCATGTTGTTGTTGGTGGTGTTACGGTAGTCCTCTGGTGTCACGCTGGTGTAATTGGCATTCTGGGTAATACTGTGCAGCTCGGCACTCTTGTCACCCGTATCCAACCCGGTATTGCCCAACGAACTGTTGTTCAGAGCATTTGCCGCCTTACTTCTGACGTCGTGCACTGTGTCGGCCACATCTCCTTCTAGATTTGCTTCCATGTGTGTGACGTTGTCTTTAAGTTCCTTAGCATTATCTTGTACATTGTACGCATCATCTTTCAATTCTTCGGCTTCCTCACGAGTCTTGTTCTTCAGATGTTCCGCACTTTCCATGGCATTGGTTTTCATATCGTAGGCGTCAGCTAAAACTTTATATTCACGTACCTTCTCCTTCACATCCTTCGTTCCTTCCCCAACTTTGGCTTTCATATCGTATGCCTTATCACTTGCCTTCTCTTCCAAACCGTCGACATTGTCCTGTATATTCTCCTTGAGATTCTCCGCCCCTTTCTGTGCCTTGTTCTTCATATCATAGGCCCCATCCCGCACAGTTTCAGCGCCAGCCCCTGCTTTGTCTTTCAGTACCTCAGCGTTGTCGCGTGCCTTGTCCTTCACATTCTGTGCTTTTTTCTCGGCTTTCGCCTTCATATCGTAAGCTTCGTGTTTCAAGGCTTCAGCGTTATCACTCGCCTTATCCTTAACCTCATAGGCATTCTCTTTTAACGCTTCTGTGTTGTCAAGCACTTTCTCTTTCAAAATCGCCGCACCCTCCTCGGCTTTGGCTTTCATCTTGTATGCTTTGTCTTTCAGCACCTCTGCGTTATTACCCAATTTATCTTTTAGATACGCCGTCTCCTCAGCTGCCCTGCCCTTCAGATCTTCATACTTATCTTTCGCCTTGTCCTTGACGTCTCCCAAATCGTTCAGCACACCAAGTTTCACCTCTCTCAACTTTCCAGCATTATTTGCGCCATCGGTGGAAACGTTACTAGCGCGAGTATTGTAATCAGCAGCACCTTTCTTAGCTGAGATATCGTCATGAGTAGTATCGTGAAGCTCAGTGCTTCCCGCTGAGCGCATATTGAGCCCTCCCTGGTCGTTAGTGCCTCCAGCATTATTGCCAGCTGCCCCGTTGTCATTCGGAATGGTTCTCTGCGTTGTGTCGTGTAGCTCGGTGCTGTGTGCAGGACGCATTTTAAGCGTCTCCTCGCTTGCAATAGTACTCTCCGCTGCATTCGTCAACTCCTTCTGCACGTCGCTCGCCTTTTTCATAGTAGCGTTTTTCAAGTCCTGGGCCTTATCCTTAGCATCGTACATCTTATCGATAGCATCAGCCTTCACGCTCTCCAATGTGTTGTCATGCTTCGAGCGTATGGTCGGTAATGTGCAGACCTGAGGATATCTTGCGTGGAGGTTTGCCGCATGTCCCTGCGCGCTCAGTGGATTGGCTTTTGCGCTGGCAGGACCCAAAGCCCCACTGCGGAGCAGGCGAGCAGACGAATTCCGGATGTGTTGCATTTTTGTTTATTACTTTTCAATATGCGAATTTTAACCGAATATTACACGAATGATATATTGTGATATCTAAATTAGAAGGAACGCTGTGATTTATATTGTATGTAAGACATAAGTAGTCTCAAACACGAGTTTCAAGAAGTCCAGTCTGTGATGATAATAATTATACATTCTAAATAACACGTCAACCATAAAAGGTGTCAAAATGTCAAAGTGACAGTTTTAATAGAACTCCTGACCCGCCTTTTCAATAGACTGAAGTTGATTGGTTCTTCGCTCTAAACCGCAAGAAAAAGTAAAAGTTGGCTTTTTTTTGCACATAAACCTTCATTTTCGAATAGTGATCAGTTGATCACGGACAGCCATCCACGCACCGTAGACGTGCCACGAGCGGCGCAAAATAAATATTAGGCCGGATTTGCCAACTTAAAGAAATATTGAGAAAATGCAGCCCTAATAAATATTCAGGTATATTTTGGTATATTTCCTACGAAATATTGGAGCCCTATATTTCATGAGAATTTAGAAATTCATATGCGATTGTATTTGAGATGTTGTTGAATATTCACTCAGTATTTTGATACTTTCAGTTGGCAAATGCACGAATGCACAAGATATTCTATATGGAGCCGAAAAAGTGATGCCACTTTTGGATTGGTACATATTAACCCGAGCCCTCCCATTGGCAGTAGTGTTCCATGAAGGTTTTATTGAGATTTCTGGAGTAAATCCTAAAATATAATATTTCATTCTCTACCATAAGTCAAAAAGAGGGTAGCTTTTTGACTTATGGTGAAATATACAACAAAACAAAATATTGTTGTATATTTTTTGGATTGAATCTGGCATAATTTGGGAATGGCAACACACTCGAAATCGTGAAATCAGAAAATTACGAGGCTCAAAAAATATGAAAGTCACTTTCCATAATTTCCTGAATATTCAGAATAATTGTCAAAATTATGGATCGTGCTAAGAAATATCGAAATTAGCTACCGGAGTAAGGTATTTTACTCATTTCATATTTTGTTCCCCAATATTTCCTGAAGTTGGCAAATCCGGCCTTACATAATCTTGTGAATCCAAGTTAAAAAATACATCTGGTGGGATATATTAGGACAGCACAATTCATTACGATCCACAATTACAAGAATGTCATACAAAATTTCCCCTTCCATATTACTTCGCACTAGAGTGCAAAGCCACCTATTAATTACAAATCGCTTCACATATACGTCTCTGCGCAATGCGCCAGGCCGCGTTTGTACGGCATGTTTAGGGACGCAAATACAAAACCGAGCAAATCATCATGATGCAGGGCATGAGCTGAAGAACGGGGGCAAAGAAATGAAAGACAAGGCAGGAGAAAATGCAAAACAAGTGTATAACAGCGTGAAAGAATATTTGGAGGAGATTAAGCCCGCTATTGGCGATAAGGTGGAAGGTGTGAAAGAGAAGAGCACGGACAACAATGCTGTGAATAATCCTTTTGCAAGCCCAGATCTGGAAAAGCCTCCTCAACATAAAGGCAGCAGAGTGGACGCGGCCGCCGCTACGCCGGCCGATGTTCGCTTGTCTGATGATATCGAGGCCAAGGCCAAAAAGGTGTATGACAACGCGAAAGATAAAATGGACGATATGAAGGCCGCTATTGGCGACAAGGGGGAAGGTACGAAGGAGGATAGCATCGACAACAATGCAGTAAGTAATCCTTTTCCAAGCCCAGATTTAGAAATGACTCCAAATACGAAACATACAGGCAACAATGTGGACGCGGCCACCGCTGCGCCGGCCGATTATCGCCAGTCCGGTGATAACACAGATTCCAAATTCACACAAGATGGGAAATCCAAGTGAAATCTTCGGCCTGCATTTCCTCGATTCTAAATCCATATTGATTGTGGTGGAGCTTAAAAAAATGATATTGAAAGTAGGGTTTTACTGTTCACGAGTTACTTGTCGACGAATGGTTTGTCAACTTAAGATACCTATACTAGATTCACAAATTCCATACTGTGTACCGTTTTTACACAATTATTGATTGGCCCTGATGGGGTAGTTATGAAGGGAAGAGAAACGAGCATGCCGGAATGTGATCATGAACTATACAATATATGACATATGATGGTTAAGTGTGCAGTTTATGCGACACCTGTACAAATTAATTCACGCCCATTAATTTCCACCTATATTTTCTAAATGGCATAGCGAATACTAGTAGTAGTGTACTCTTTCTTCTAGTAATCAGAGTTTTAGTGATTACTTGATGAGTGAATAAACCTGTTCAAGTAGATTGCGGAACCCACTTTTAGGTAGACTCGCCCGGTCCAATCCAAGCGCAAGTCGCTCTTGTTCGAAAGGGTTGGCTGTTATTGCTTCACGACGCCGTCTAGCAAACGGATTGTATGTATAGGTATCAGTATTCGTGGAGCCAAATCCTGCATAGCTAGTAGTCGTGGTACCAAATGCAGTATTAGTCGTGGGTGTATAGCTGTAGCTTTGTGACCCGTATTCAGTGGTGACGCCAGTAGTGGTTGTAGGTGTGTACGCATTATACCCAGCATAGTTTGTCGCCGTATTGCTAAATCCTGAATTAATATCATAACTAGAATATGCAGCGCTATTGAAACTGGTGTATGTGGTTGGCTGACTACTACCCATCTGATCAGATAAATCTTCATCTGTTCGACCTGCAGTGGCTATACCAATACTCCCACTCGAGGGCATACCACCCGTAAACTCCGATGTTTGCGGGACATTCTGGACTGCCCCATCAATACCTACAGCCTCAGCTACTAATCGATCCTGCTGCGTAGTATCCACTGGCCCCGTTGAGACACCATTTGAAGTACCAGTATTTTGCTGACTGCTGGCACATGCTATTCCTGAGGCGCACGTTCTCTCAGAGCCTTCGGTGCCTTCTGGGCACACCGCCCCATCGCCAGACTGCCCTTCGCACGTGCGCAATTGGCGTTCAGTACCGCAGCATGAAGACCATCCGGACCACTGACCATCTACGTCTGCTTCGATAACGTAGCTACAACCGGCGGCAGAATTAGACTGACACTTCCTAGTGTGCTCGAACATTGTACACTCGTGGCCTACCAATCTGGATGCCTCTACGACACATATAGCTGTCTGCGTGCCTCTGCCACAAGTGTTTGAGCAGTCACCATAATCAGTCCACTTAGAGCCATCGGAAGCAACTATCAGTCTCCCAGCCGGTAGAGTGGGGGCTGCTGCTAAAGTTTCTGTGCGAGAGAAGTCATCGCATCCTATAGGATAACACTCTTCATAATCTTTCCCGGGACAATATCCAGGACCGCCATCATTTGAATTTTGACATCCCCTGCCCCGATAGCCTAACACATTGCAATCAGATGAGCTACAATCGCCAAACTCCGACCAATCTTCACACCTTTGCTCGTTACACGCTACTACTGTACTCTCGGGCCTTTCACTCAACTCGCAATAGGTGTTGTCGAAATTTTTATTTCTACAGACGTATTCAACATTGTGCACTCCTCCTCCACAATTCTTAGAACATTTTCCGCCTTCAGTACCTATCACCCATTCACCTTTCATTGCAGGCACCTCCATGATGGCCTTTAGCTGCATTTTTAAGTTGTAGGTGCTGCCGCTTGCTTCTTGATACACACAACCTGAATTTGGAGCTTCAACCATAGCAACCACATTCACGTCATTATCAGCGGGTGTTATACACATCGCCTTACACCGTTGTTGTGTGCCACTCCTGGCCATACAAAGTTCACCCTCAGCTATAATAAGACTTCTCATATCTATAAATGACTGCTCTCTATCAGGCTTGTCAAGACATTGCTTCTGATAGACTACACCTGAAGCTTGATTAACGGAAAGACATAGTGATGTTTCCATATTCCTCAAAACTTGACCTTCCCGTCTCCAGATCTGTTCTTTGTATCCTGTACACGTCTCGATTTGTACATTTTCATCTTTTAAACTGGCCCCCAAACATTTGTAATTCGAAGTCACCACCAGGCTATCGTTGACATCGACCATCAAAGCATATGAATAATTGCATACTGCTACCCCTACTGCAACTTGAAATAGGCTACCGCGTCCATTTCTCGTTCTCATGGTGTGAAATGTGGTCACCTGCTCGATGAACAGTATGTAGTTCGATATAGAACACTATACTATATTGATTATTTAAGCGTACTGAACTAATCCGCTATTGCAATAAACCGCTCTTTCGATCTGAATTTTGTATATTATAAATAGTACTGCACAAGTATGATAGACTCTGGATACCACAAATTTTCAATCGATATATAGACTATGACTACCGGTACGCAGCATCATAATTCTAATCGCAGTTGTCGTAGTACATGTGTATTAAATCGTGCACGCATTAAACTGTGCAGTGAACAGATGACACATAGTATTTTCAAAACTACTACTCTGCTTCTGTATGTCACAGGGTCACTCCTACATATGTAAATAATAAATTGAAGGCATCTGCTCTAGAGCTCCTGCTGGACACAGGACAACCGCCATGTGCAGTGCAGTGAATCAGTGATATGCAGTATGCAGTTATGCACTACATATAACATGAGTACATATGCTCTACTGCTGGGTACTGGAGCTTGGACTACTGGGTCCACACTCCACAGCCCACAGGGCACACCGGCACACCGGCACATTGTGCCAGTGCGCCCTCTGCCCTGGGCCTGAAGCCCGAGTCCTCTGGACTCTCTGGTCTGAGGTCTCTGGAGTCTGGAGTCTGGGCTCTAATCCTCTATTACTGTACTCGGACTCTCGGAGTCTCAGAGTCAGACCTGAGTCACCTGACTGGCGACTCATGTGTGAGTGTATGTAGCCAACTCCGTTTAGCTTATATCTCTACTATCACTAATTCACTACAATGTATGTATAAAGTTATCATATCTCTCTATTCGCGAGTATGAAGGTGTACATACAACAACTGGAATATTTTGAAGGTGTTCTATTGGAATATGGAAACAAGAGTCAAAATTCCCAAATTCTTGTGACTTTATTTCATTTATTTTTATAGAGCTCTTGAGTCTTGTGCTATTGCGGTCACCATGGTAGTGAGACATTGGCTAATACTATTTGCTATGTGTAGTTGTATCACTCCTGTAATGGAGTATCCATAAAATAGAGCTCCGCTCTGCTGCGACTTGCGTCGTGGACGGTCGTGCGCGAGGCCCGATTGGCGATTGGCGACTCTCTTGGCGAGTTTGCGAGTCTGCGACTTGTGTAATAAAAAATACCATGTAAATATTTATTACGTATCGAAGAAGTGCCATGTTTTTTAAGGAGGCTATGACGGTGCACAGTGGAAATCTTGCGACTCTTTACATCCAAAACTTATTAAAAATACCTTGTGACCTCTGTGTGTGGGACTGTATATTCATTATAGCCTTCCAATGCAGCCTCTTATTTTAGTAAACATTTATAATAATAAATCGACACCTTTTGGCTTAAGCCTTTGAGGGCCTTTTATTTGAACAATCTTTAGTATTGACTATGTAATACTGCGTCAGTGCTTTTGACGGTTGAGTGTTGGCTCGGCCTACTACAACCAGTGAACGAATGACACACTCGCACTGTCGCACAGGCTCGCATACTCCTTACTTACATAACAAGGTCGGATAACAGTCAGGGGTCAGGGCCCGTCTCTAGAGGGAGTTACAGACACTGTGACATTGACACACTGACAGTCCAATGCGACACACAGTCAGACCCGATAGGCAAGAAGAAGAAAAAGATTTGTATAACTTCTTTTTGAAGTATGATTGTAAATATAATAATTTCATGTATTAATCACACTTGACGCTTGATTCTATATTCAAAAATCATACATACAGGTGCATGAATAGCTCTTGTTATCATATACTCAGTTGCACATGTTTAGTTGTATATACTACATATATACACTCCAGTTTGATATTGTGGTTTATCAAATAGCCGATCGCCAGCCAATTAAAACCGTTATACACAGTATACATAAATACTAGATTTAAAGTAAAAGCTGTACATATTTTCTTTAGAAGAGACGATCATTGAGATTGCACACTTGGTCGCTCCTACATATTTTAAAGGTCGAAACAGTAGTCTCCCTGTCCCTACTCACCAGTCACCAGGAGTCCACCTGTCACACGTGCTTGCATCACAGACGCACGGTGCACCGTATTAATTCCTGACTGCTCTCGAGAACTGACAATACATTGGAGTCACTTTCTCTCTCGCTTTCGCTTTCGCTCTCGCTCGCTCGCTTGTTACCTACATGCCAGCTACAGACTTATGTTTACCCATGTTGTGTGCGTCGCATCATTCTGTATCGAAATTAATATGTCACGCAAACCCTAGTATATACTTGTTTTATCTGCAATCGAAGTGTCCCACTGAACGCTGATACTTCTGTGCCATTCGCAGAGTCGCTTCCCTGACACTGCCTGGTGCCAGTAGTACGTATACTTAACTCAATCGTCTATGCACTAACCCTCGCAAACACACTCAATTGAACCTTTTTGTTTATTTATTTACACATCCACCGTTGCGCCCGGAGGCTTCTGCGGTGTGCTCTCCGCCTGCAGTTGCTTGTGCATGTGCGTGCCATCTTGTCCTGCGCTTTGGTCAGTACTCTGCGTGGGTATTGGTGTGGGTGTATCCCCCGTTGGGTCTATCGTCGCCTGGGCTTGCTGCTGCTGCTGTACGGAAGGTGGAGGGTTGGGATGCGTGTGTGCTAGTACAGGCGGGAGTGCGCTTGTTGGTATCTGATTGGGCGGCTGAGCTTGTGTCTGTGGGTAGGTACAGTGAGTGTATGTTAGAAGCAGAAGCAATTGGTTGAGGAATGTACTCGTTTAGATATCAGGTGACACGTGTCAGTCACGAGCAGTAGTTTTAAATTCAATTACCACCAGCTCATATGTGATCACGATAACAATATCAATCCTCAGAGAATCGTGTCGTATTAATAAATGGCGCGCGCGCGTGTGTGTGTGTGTGCGTGTGTGTGTGTGTGTGCACATATATATATATATACCTACTCTCACTTGACACCCACACCTACCTGTGGTGGAGGTGGCAGATTGTTCATGCTCGGTGCTGGCACATTCGATGGCATCGGTGCGGCTCCTGTAGCGGCTGCAGGTGCGGTTGAGGGGTTGTTGGTAGGGGTGGGTGCACGTGGTTGCTCGTTGAGGTATCCCGTTATTGTCCCGATATTGGGCAGGCCTAGTCCGTCCGGGTCCGAGTAGTTGGCGGCTACCAACATCTCGAAGTCGGCGTAGGCGTCGAGCACCCGTTTCTGCACAGGTGGATATAAGGAACGTTTATATATATATTTATATATATATATATACGTATATCAGTTATGCAACCTGTGCTTCCAAGTTCCTCTGATTTGAATTTTATAAACTGATGTATTCCGGTATTGAATAATCCGGTTCGTGTACCCGATCTTGACACCCATGCACGTGTCAATGCGTGTTCAGTGTCACACTCCCTGGCGTATAATCCACGTGTGAGGATGAGGGATGTGGCTCTATACACATCTCCTGCGCGTATCACTGTACTGCGGGACGGTTGCCCAGGAGTACTTGACTGGTAGCGTATGAACCAAACGTATTTAATGCAGATACCGAACAGAGCGCAGCATGAACTGTTACCAACGCGTCGACTGAATGTCGGTTGCAAGCACACCCAAACAGGTGTTGCCAAAGCAGACCTTCAGCATGCAATAGCCCACTAGTATAGCGTCACTGCGTAGGTGAACAAGCTTACTCGCGGTCTAACTGTTGCCAGTGAGTGAGCAGCTCAGATGCTCATCATTCAAGCAATACCTACGAGTACATTTAGATGTAATGCCGGTATACGTACTTGTGTCGAGGTGGCTACAATATATATGCCGTTGTTGAGATCATATTGGGCTTTCACAGTGCGAGCGATGAAGGAGCGGTGAACATCATACTTGTACGTTAAACTAGTGGATATATAGACATATACATATATATATATATATATATATATATATGATATATATATAATATATATGTATATATATATATATTATATATATATATATATATATGTGTGTGTGTGTGTGTGTGTGTAGTTATATTATATGTA